CACAGCCATGCAGTCTCCCAGGTTGCTCTTCATTTTCCTTCTGAGAAAGCAGTTTATAAAGAAACAGTCCTAAATCCCCTATTCCTTGCCAGCACTTGTGGGCCTACAGGGGCTTTCTGAGGTGTTTGCTTGCACTATCAGTGCAGAAGACAAATTTCCACATTGGTCCCAATATTTCACCGAGGAGGGAAGTCTGAAGCACTCTCACTTCCTTATGAGATTTCCCTCTATTGCACAAAACCAGCCATCCAGTTCTGTGGCTCATTACCACCCTTTATAGCTGGTTCCCCAAATCTCACATTGACCTGTTCACCAACAGCCTTGGCCCAAGGTCTCCTGGGCATGCGGGTGGCTGGTCCTGAGGGATGGGGTGTCTCCAAGTCGTGGGGAAGGCAGCTTGTCCCTCTGGGATGCACGCTGAGGAAGCCTGGGATAAGTCAGCCCCCTCTTCCTCCAGCCCAAGCAAGGGGAGGCCGTGGCAGCGCATGGGGATGGCAGCCAGCCCCAGGCACCTTCCAGTGGCCAAGGAGGGCCAAAGGGAAATGCAGCTGTGGGAAGCAGGTGGAGATGCTCTTGTGAAAAACAGAAACTGCACTGCACCACTAGTTTCAGTAGAAATCCAGCATATCAAGGGGCTGTACTTTAAAGAAGCAAGAACACAGGAATTCCCCCGTGGCTGGTTTTGGTTGCTCTTTCTGTGGGTGCTGGAAGGTGGCTGTGAGGCAGATGGGGAAGCTGCACAGCGAGCACACAGCCTCCAATAGCCATCGCTCCCAGCCATGTGCCCCATGCCGGGCTAAGGGCAGTGGGGCATGGGGAAGGAAATGCCAACCAAAGCCTGCACTGGGACACGCACACAAAACCAGGGAAAACCCTGGTGCGTGAGGAGGACTTTCACAGGAAAAGCCTTGGGACTATCCCAGGGAAAGCAGCGATGACCAGGAGCTCCAAGGACGCACGGATGATCTTGGCACAGCCCCACTGCTTCAGCCACCCCAAATACTGGCTGCTGCCAGGCACCACGGGGAGCTGCATGGTGCTGCTGCTGGGGGATGTAACACCAGGGACACCCCCCCCACACCGCCGGGCAGGGAGGATCAGGGAATGTCCTACCTGCACATCCTGGCTCCTGCTCACGGCCCCTGGTTGTGGAAAGGCGTGTAGCTGCTCCCTGCCCCGCTCAGCAAGCCGCTGATGCTGAATGGTGGCACCAGCTCCACTGCCACCGACCCGCTGTGGGGAAGGCAGAGATAAAAGCCAGCCCCTTCCAGCCAGGGCTGCCCAGGGCATCTGCCCCAGGGCACAGCTCAGCACTGTTTGGACCAGCAAGGGCTTGTGACACCTTGGCACCATGCAAAGGGAGCAGCCAGCCTGCCCCAAGGCCCCACATGGCTTCACTCACCAGGCGTGGTAGAGGTTGAAAACGAAGTCAGGCCCTGGGGAGGTGAGAAGGAGAGGTGTCAGAGCCCCGTGGTGCTCTGAACTCACCTTTGCTTTGCCACAGATCTGTGCAGTAGTGTGGGAAAGGACAGCCCGTGGGGCAGCTGGCTGCACGAGGACATCACTGTGCACCCCCTCCCAAGCCTCTGCATCCCCCAGCTTGCCCCAGAGCCACCCTGCATGTGGGCTTCCCCTGGGACCAGCAAATGTCAGGTGTGCTCCCCACATACCAGGCCCATACTGCCCATACTCACGGCACCAGCACTGGCCCCTCTGGTACCACCGGATGAGGGTATAGCCAAAACCCACCAGGATCAGCAAGGCCAGCCCGACACCCAAGATCGCTCCGAGCACCTTCATGGGCTCTTGCCCTGTAAGGAAGAAAGGGCTCTGCAGACAAATGCCTCTAGGAGGCTGGGGGTTCTAAACATCCCCGTGGGGCTGGGATACATCCCTCTACTTTGTGCTATCCCCTATGGCATGGAGGGACTGCGCTCCCCAAAGCTCCCCTGCCGGGAGCCCACCCAGATCTCAGGCAGCTTTCGGCTGTTCTCCAGATCCATCACACTGTGCTGCCCACCCTGAGGATGCCTGTATCCCCACTCCTGGTCCTATGCACACTATCCTAGGGGGAACAACTTCCTGGAGCTGCTGGGGCAGCAGTGGTGCTGGTGCTGGCTGTCCCGGTGCTCCCACAGCCGTGCAGTGCCATACCACGGTCAGTCCCGGCAGCGTCCCCTTGCAGCTGCACAGACCCATTTCTGGACAGGCAGTTCCCTCTAGAGGATGCGTTTGTCAGGGCGAGCAGCCTCTGCTGCCAGCGCTGGGCTGGGACCGGAGGATGATGGGGCTGTGCAGGACCTCTCCATCCCTCCCATCCACAGCCAATACTATCCTTGTCAAGGGGACAGCAAGGTGCCCAGGCACAGCACAACTGATGAGCAGCCATTTCTGTGCTTACAATAGGTTGCAAGCTGCACAGAGCAAATCTTGTGTAATCTACAGCACCAGGCTGCTAATCACACTTCTCTCCAGCTGCTACCAGCTCCCGCTCCCCAAACCCCTGTGCATCCCAAATGCCATCCTAGACCCTTCTCCATTGTCACAGCAGGCTCCAGCATGAGCCCATCTCACAGGCAGCACAGCCTCTTTTACCTTTGCATCCCTGATCGGTAAGCTGCCCCGTCAGTCCCAGTGGGCCCCATTAGCAAAACACAGGCAGGGGTGGTGGTGGGCACAGCAAGGGGGTTGTAGGGTTTGGCCACTGCCCCAGAGCCTGCACAGGAGCAAGCACACTGGGTGCTGTGCCTTGCAGCATCAGGAGCAAGGAGGCAGCGGGGAAGGATGACCTCACAGCAGCTAAATTTAGCCAGATGCAAGTGGAGTGAGAACATTTCCCCTGTGGTCACAGTGTTTACACAGTGAGCAAGGTCCCAGGGCGTCCCACAACCCGCAGCACTTGCTCTACCTGACGGGATCTGGCAAACACCCGGGAACCGCAGAGCATCACGCCACCAGCTCCCAAGCTTCATGGCAGACAGGCAGGACCAGCCTGCCCTTCCCTTCTGTTGGTCTCTCAGAGCAGGGCTC